TAATACCGGAAAAAAAAAATATAAATCATTGTTGTATAAATAAACCATTATTTCAACTATAATACTTTTTATTATAGAAGTAGAAGCAATAATATTATTGTTGATTAATCAGTAATATAATAAATTTATTTCTTGTTATATATCAATTTATTTAGTTTTCTTTATTATTTATTTATTGGGAGGTTTTCTGAGTTCAACCTGTTTCCTTTAGGACCCGGGGGAAGTCCCTGATGTGCAGGTCAGATCCTCCTCCAGTTCTTCCTCCTCCTCCTCCTCATCAGCTGTTCCGGCGGCGCAGCAGCGGAGCCCCGGACCCAGACTCTCTCCTCTCCGCCTTTTCCTCTCCCTCCCCTGGAAGGGTCCATGTAGCGCCCCGCACCGTCCCGCACACAGACAGAAGATGAAGATGAGGTGCGGGATTCATTTCATTTCTGAAACTTTCGCTCACTTTGTGTCAGAGTAAAACCTGAAAATCTGTGAACGCGTTTTGTCCGCAGGTGTTGCTCTCGGCTGCAGCTCTTCCTCCGCTGCGTCCTGCTCCTCATCCTCCCGGCCGCGTCGCAGTGGTCAGGTAGGAAAACCTGCGGCTGCTGCCGCGTTTCCACCGCGAACCTGCACAGGCAGATAGACTCGCTCATTTGCGCTAAACAGTTTAAAACTAAATGCAAACAATCAGTTTAAGCTTTTAAAAGTTTGCAGGATTTTCTTCTTCTTAGTTTTTAGAACTTTTCCCCCAACATCCTGCATCTGCCTCAGACTTTAACGGTAAAATATGATTATTGACCAGATTTTACTCAAATCTAAGCTTCAATGTTTGGAAGATTTTTTTCTGTCCTCATTTGAAACCATGTTGGGCATTTTGTCTTTCTTGCTGTTCTGAATCTTTCATCCTGAACGCTGGAAATCCATCTTAGGAAATGTTTTTGTAACAGATGATGGCGAATGGAAACGGAGAGGATGACGTTTAGTATTCGGTTGGCTCTTCCCGCGTTTCCCTTACAAAAGAGCGCAAAACTTTGTCAATACTGCGCCAATACCTGCATCTTTCTTACAACGTACATAAAACAGTCAATATCATGTAATATCATTTGTTTTTGTTGCAAATGTGCACAAAACTGTGACAATGTTCCGCTAATGTTGAAAAAACACAATTTTACTGTTGAGGTGTTTCCATTAACTAGTAAATGCAGTTAAAATCACACAATAATACTTTGTTCACCATTAAAAAAATCATTCTGCGCCATCATCTTCCTACCACTTCCTGTCGTCTTCTTTGTCGTTTCCGCTGTAGTAACAGGCGGTTGTTGATTATGTGATATGATAAAACTGTTTCCATTGCAGTTTTGCGAATTAAATCAATTTCAATATGACCGAAAAAGCCTTATCTTAGTGCCAAAACTTTTTATAGGAAAACAAAGTTTTTTTTTTTGTTTGTTTTTTTTAAAAGAAAATTGGCATGTTTATTTTCCTAAATGTCAATTTTATGGTTGATGGAAATGCAGCTCCTGATGACTTAAGGGTCCAGACGATGATTTGTAGTGGAAACCACATTAAAGCTGCATGCTTTGAATCTTCTTCACCTCTTTCAACCGGAAAATGTGGAGTGTTACCCTGCGGTTTGTTGGGATCGGGTGGAGAATCGGTCCACAGGAAGACCAGCAGCTCTGACTAAGTGTTTCCCATTGCTAAGCTGGGTCAGGAATCCCTATTGTCATGTGATCTTTGACATGCGCCCAGCGGGACGCCGCCGGGGGAGGGGAGCGGCTGCGACGGACCCCAACCGTCCCTTTTAACGGCCCGCTGTCCTCTCCTTTCTGGGCCAGCGGGACGGACGTTGGAAAACAAAACAGAAAAAGAGGGAAACTCTGCTGGACTTTATCTGCTAATCATGGATGAAAACTTGAGTTTTAAAAAGTTTGCATTGTTCTAATAGAGCCTGAAGCTGCAAATCCTTCACAAAATGTGTAGTTAGGGAAGAAAAAAGCCACCCCATCTGGTCAGGGATAAAGTCTGATTTCCTGCACCAGTTCTGTTCACCCAGTGAACCTTGTGATGTTTAATTCCTGGATTTTCTAGTCATTAAACCTGCTTACGCCTAATCTTCCTCCCTGGAAGTGTCTCAAGTCCCATCGAGCGTTTGTTTTGTCGTATTGTGTCAGCTGCCGCCGTTTAGAGAGTTAATTAGATTGAAGCTAAGTAGATGTTTGCAGACTGACAGTGGGCTTATTGTGGCTGTAAGCCTGCGTTTCTGGGTGGGAGGAACATTAAATGTCCAATTTAGGTGCAGATCTGATGACTGACCACCCAGATCTCACACAGACATGATGGTGGACGGTCATCTGAAGGTGGAAATAGTGAATTTACATGAATCTGTCTCTTTAGCTCTTCGGATCCGTCTTTAGACCAACATGACGGCAGCGCTGGGTCAGGTCTGGCGCTGGGTCAGGTTTGGCGCTGGGTCAGGTTTGGTGCTGGGTCAGGTTTGGTGCTGGGTCAGGTTTGGCGCTGGGTCAGGTTTGGTGCTGGGTCAGGTCTGGTGCTGGGTCAGGTTTGGTGCTCCAGGCGGCTCTAAATTGGTTCCAGCTTAGCCCCCCATGTTGTTACGTCACTAAATGTCTCTCCTAATATGTCATTTAAACACCCCTGAAAAACATGAAGGATTTCTGCAGTTAGTCCAGTTAGCTGCGAGCTAACCAGGTTTCCACCCAGATGTTTGACTATTTACTCTTCCCATCACCTTAATCCTTTACAGATTATCAATCAGGTTTAAGTCAGGACTCTGCCTGGGCCCATTCAAAACGATACATTTTGAATGGGCCTAGTGGAGCTAATTTTTTAGCTTAGCTTAGCTCTTCAATAAAGTTTTACTTCTGCGGTGAAATTTTGACTGTTTATGCTCTCATGTTCTTCATTGTTAGCGTCAGTTAAACACCGTGTTGATATCACACGTTAGCATTTTCACTAACTTTGAAAATGTTTAGCGCATTTAGCTTCGCTTAAATCTTTCCAGACAAGTTCTAAAGCAGAAATTCACTGAACTCTGATGAACTTTCACTTGAATTGATTTAGAGATTAGTGTTGAAATTTTGGATATCGACAGTTAACTCGCTCACGTTCTTTAGCAATACCACCAGCTAATTATGTGGTTGTTTTTAAGCCTAAACCTGCTGAGGGAATGAATAATTTTGGGTTTTCTGAACTCCAAGAAGAGCTCAAAGACCAAAGAAGAGTCCAGAACCGTAAAGGACGGAGTAAGTTTACCGTTTAGCTCTGAGTACCAAATTCAGCCCATCTGTAATGCATAGGAAGACTTGTATGTCAACATCCAAGTCATTCATTGAAAACACATGACCCAGTTAGCATTACAGTGTTAGCACACCTGGAAACATAAACAGCTGCCTTTGGTTTGGTTTAGCTGGTTTTCATCTTCGGAAACGTGGAGGAAGGTGAATCTGGAAATCTCTAGGAAGATGTTGTTATATTTTGTCAGATCACTTTCCTCCCACATGAAGAAACTCCTGAAATCTGTCATTAAAAAGGTTAAATATATTAATTTTAGCTGCTGGTGGAGTATGACTCCACACAAGGCTTTTGTTAAGTCTCCTACAGACAGGAAAACACCCAACCCTCCACATGTGCTCACACTCATGTGTTCATCCACTCATGGTTTTTCCAGAATTTCTATAAAACTACAACATTAAGCTGCTGCCACTTCAGTTGTTCAAAAATATCCAAAATGAAAAGTTGTCACAACTCAAACCACCCAAGTTTCTTAGATCTTTATTGACTTTCCTGTTGTTCTGTCTGCTGGTTGATATAATAATTCTGTAAAATAGATCATTTATAATCAAAAATCAAGACGGTTTAGGCTTATTTGGAGGAATGTATGTATATATTTGAATCTGTATGATTCTGACTGTGGATTAGAGAAAATTTACCATAAATTAAAAAACAAAGCAAACAGTTTTAGTTGTTTGCATATAAATTAGGGGTGGGAATTTTTTTTTTACTAACTCACGATTTGATTAAAATTCGTGATGATTTCTGCTTTAATCGGTTGGAAAGGTTCCTCATGATCTGCTTTGCAAGGCAGAATGACAAACTGAGACGTTAAGGTGTCACGTTTATTACATTTTAAATATTACGCCATGTTTAGATGGAATTACTCCGTCCCTGCATCCTCCATTTTGTTGTAACGAAGTGTCACGTAGAGAGCGCTTCGCCCCCATGAACAACAACGTTGCATTTTTCATCCACAATTTTTTAGTCATTTTACAGCATTTGTAATTGTAAAAAATGTGTGTAATTTGTCACCAAATCGGAAAAACACTTCGTATTAATGTCTCCTGCGGATACAAACACCAGAGAGCGAACTATTGATGTCGCTCTCCAATCGTATTTCTGTGAAGACATTCAGGGATTTTCTTTTCTTTTGCGCTGTAATAATGTAATCAGTGACATCTTGGATAATTAACGGCTCTCTGCTGAGGTTTTTCCATATAATATGTCGTTAGTGAGATATTTTAAGTTTTATATCTTTTTCTTTAGGATACAAATGCACCACAAACTCTCTTTCCATTCCTAAAAGTTCCTAAAACATAAACAAAAACTTTCTGTAAGAAGAAAAGAAAAAGTAAAAATACATTCAAACTATTTGGACTATTTTTGGGATATTTTCATGGTGTAATAAAGTTTCCTGGCAGTTTTAATTGCTTTTTTTTTTGTGTATTTAGTCTGAATGGTTAATAAAGGGACATTTTCATATATGCATCTCACAAAAACAAAAACATGAAGTTCACATCTCGGCTTTCAACCAGTTTCTGCACCAAAGAGTTAAGAATGTATAAACACGTTTTCAGTGAGGCTTTTTAAATGTGAACATGTCATTTTAAATAGATATTTGCTGTTGTTATGGCTGTATGCAAAATAAACAGGGGTGTAATTACTGACTTATTGCGAGGTATCGCATGTTTTGTGCATTTCTGCTTAAAACATGGCAACAAACTTCTGACCAATCGCAACACGGCGTACTGAGCTCCTGACTCTGTGACGTAGCTCTGCTTCGCTGTAGCTTAGCTCCAATGTGTTTCCAAGGTGATCAATCTTCATTTTACAGTTTTTTTGCACAGTAAAGCTCATGTGCACTTCTGTTTTTCCGGGAATTTGGTAAAAACCAAAAAGTCCAAATGTTTCCCTTAAACGGAGACGGGACCGGCTGAATCTCTGATTTTTGCAGTTTCCTCCGCGCATGCGTTCCGTCTCCATGGCGACGTGAGAACGTTGCCTCAGACAGCGGATTTATTTCACTGTAAAAATTTCTACACTGATTTTAGGACGTTTTTAATCGATTCTGAATGAACGTAGAGTTGAACTCGTGTCTGTGTTTGTCCTGCCTTCGTTTTGAAAGCTGCTGACAGCTGTTATTTGTATTTCTCGTTCGCGCTGCCCTCAGATGTCGTCCTCGATGTCCAAATGTCGGGTTGACGGCTGCAAAATACAGAGGAACTGGGTAATTACTGGCTGTGCACTGACAGAAGAGGATTTGTCGAGCACTCGCTCCAGAACTAATGGCACCCTGAGTGCCGCTTCGCCTCTCAGCACCTCTTTCCTGTTTCAAGTGAAACCTTTACTTATTTGCTCGTCTTTCCCAGGTAATCCAGGTAACACTCAGCACAAGGTGTGAAGCTCTGCAAATTACAGGACTCTACTGTATATACATGTTTTCTATTCAGTTCTACAGATCTGTGTTGACTGATCTGAGTTTTTACTTTGTTTCGTCCATCTTTGTGGTATTTTGTGTTTCTGTCTGACTCCTCCTTCATTAACCTAACCGTTTTAACTCCACCTTGTTTCTTCACTCGTTATTCGCAGCGTTAGAATCTGAAATTACATTTATAGTTCGATAAATTAAACACAGAATTCTGCAGCACATCTACATGTTAAGCTTTTCAAAGTCAAGCTAGCATAACTTTGACTTCCCTCTCCCGCGATATATATATATTTTTTTAATTAAAACTCTTTTCTGGCTTTATTAGTTGTCATAGTAGCAAAGCTTTGCGTCCCTTCTTCTTTTACATAGCATGCTTACATTCAAGATGCTGCACCTTATTTTGACAACGTGGCAGCTAAAACCAGTGCTAGTCATTGTCAGCGAGCCACTTTTTGCGCTCCAGCAGGGAGATGCGGGGTCGGATCTCGTGCGAATGACGTCACATTGCCAGGGGTCTATAGAAACACAAGTTTTATCGGAATTGGTAAGTTTCCATTAAGCAAATTTATTTTCATAATTTGCGCAATTCTATGGCTAATGGAAACCCAGCTGGTGTTTCTTGTCTTGGTCAACATAAATCAGGAATGGAAAACGAGTTGACTGGACATTTCTGGGTAGCAGGTGTTGCAGAAGTTAAAGATCTTTCTCTCCAGTTTCTGCGGCGAAAACTAGAGAATTCATTAGACGTAAAGCAGGGCACACTTTTCCTCCGGGTGGTCAGCTCGTCTGCTGCCTTCAGTCTGGATGGGAGCTGGTTTCCATGACCACCAGGTGCAGATTATTCCCCCACAAAGCAGCGTTTGGCTGAAGCGGGGGAAACCGGATCTGTGTACCTGGCACTTTGTCCCGGTCTCCAGCTTCAGGTCGTGTTCACTAGTCTTCTTTGACAGCCTGCTGAACACAAAGGGACATGAAACCAGAGACCCTCTCCCCCCACCCCACCAACTCCAACCTTCACTCCATATTTTCCTTCTCCGGTTCTAGGAAATGTATACCATCGGCTTTTCACTCTCCATGATTTATGGCCAATGCCAACACTATAGACCGCTTTATGTCTCTACTGGTGATGTGATCCTTTTAGTATTATCAAAAAGATGCAAACGGCGTTAAACCCAAGCACCAGCTACCACCCATTTCCCCTTTTTAATGAATGAATAGACCATTCAGCATTTCACGAGGCCCCTCTCGGGAATGCCATTGTGCATTTTGAACCTCACTTTGCAGTTATATCCCTCTTTTTTTGCTCTCCACGTCTGCTTATCTTCTGATTGACTCTCATGATGTGTGTGCAGCTTTTCAGGGCATCCTTGAATTCCACTCATTCACCCGTCCTTCAACAGCGGCCGTCCCGTCTCTGGAGGCACTTACCCTCACAAATCTCACACCATGGGGGTGTGAACTGAGGAGAATCCTATGGGACAGGGAGATTACCACCAAGGCCACAGATCTTGTGACAAAAGAGGGATTTTGCTGAGTCCGAGACTTTGGATTGAGTTTTTTTCACCGTAAGCATCAGAAGGCTGGAAGGGAAGCCTCCAGGTGCGTTTGGTTTGGACGAGTTAAGCTTTAAAAGCCAAAGAACGGAGAAAAGACTCCAGCAGGGCCTCTAGACGTCGCTGCTTGCGTCTTGTTTTACACAAAACAAATAATTTGGTTCCTTATAGCTGTGAAATGTGAATCGGGAGCTTGAGGACAGTTAAAATCAATTCACTGACGTCATCGCGTGATGAAGATGCGTCACTTTGCTTCCCTTTTCGACATCAACCCCAAGTCGAACTATTTCATACAGAGTTTTGTGCCAGCTGTTGTCTGATTGGTCAGAAGTTTGTTGCCATGTTGCGATGTTGGTATTTCACTTCAACTAATCCATTTTTGTATTTGCAGGCATCGTAAATACGGAACGTTTGTCTGACGCGGGGAGGAATTATGTACATTGTCTAAGATTCCTCAGGAAATAACTACAAAGACTATCAAATGGCCAAAAACTCCTGAATGGAAATTACAACGCTGGCGTCCATGGAGGAGTTTGCAGAAAGGTGGCGCTCGCTACGTGACACTTCGCCAAAACAAAGCGGAGGATGCAGGGAGGGAGTAATTCCATCTAAACATGGATTAATATTTAAAATTTAATAAATATGAAGCTTTAATGTCTCGATTTGTCATTCTGCCCTACAAAGCGGACTGGGGGAGATCACGAGGATTCACTGCACACTGAGATTGAAGCAGAAATCAAAATTGATTTTGAATCAAATTCTGGCCCCAGAAATTGGAATCGAATTGTGAGAAAGTAAAAGATTCCCACTCTGCTATGTTTACATTTCACTGCTAAAAGTAAAACTCTTTGTACTCTTTCCTGTCTTTCCCAAGGTGGAGTGTTTCTTCAACACAAACAGCAAACACTGTCTGCTCTGGTTTTGGCATTTCGCTTAAATCCTCGGCTTCTTTAACCGGTTCTTTAGCCGCAGGCGACATGAATACTTTTTACAGTCGAATTATGTGCACTTGTACAATTTCCTCTACATAACTACAAAGACGGATGAAAATTGCTACGTTGTCGTCCACAGAGGAGCCCGTCTCTGTAGCGCTTCGTTGGAGCAAACAGTGGGAATGAGTGTGCCGAACACCGAAGTTGGTGTTGTGTGAGAGGTACGGCGACCACATGACTGCGTGTCGACTGCTCGGGTTTGGATGAAGTATGGGAAAGACTGAAGGCTCCCACATTTCTCCTTCTTTTCCTCTAATCCAAATGGATACCAGCAAGTTAGATGGGTTTGTTGGGAGTCCAACCCCGTTTCTTCACCACAGTTCAGCTTAGCTTCACCAGGTTATTAAACGCTGCACAGGCGGAGCGCTGGGCGCCTGAATGGTTATGCTTCATACCCTCTGACATTGTTCTGGTCCAGGTGGTTCAGTGCCATCAGAATTAGAGACGGGAAAGATTGTAGACTGTAAACATTTAGAGGTGCTTTAAAAGATTTGTAAGGCTTTTGGTCCAGACAGTGCCATTATTGGCAGGTTATCAGACATAGATAACCTGAGTAAACCCAAGAAGTTGTTTTCAAATGACAAAAAGCTTTTTAGGTCACAAATTAACTGTGATTGAGCCATTTCATGTAAGAGGTTTAGCCAGACTTCGGTTGCTTAATACCTGAACTGCAGATATAAGAAACTATTGAAATAGTACATCTGATGAATGAAAGATTTCTAAAAGCAACATGTTATCTAAAAAGATCCCATCAAAAACAGCAGAAAAAACAAAGTCAATAGTTGAGTTTCCATTGACCTTAAAATTGCTCAAATTGGAAATATGAAAATGGAAATACGGCATTTTTGAAAAAAGCTTTTGCACTAGAATGAGGTGTTTTTACAGCTGTGTCAAAATTTGTGTATTTCACAAAACACTTTTGAGTCGCATCAACAAACGGATGTTACTACTGGCAGAAACTACAAAGAAGATAACAAGAACAGATCAGAGGTTGTTTTAATCTCTTATCGCCTGAACAAATTAGATTTTAATCACGTTTCTTATTTAGAAATTCCACATTTGTTAAATTGTGTTTTTTCAACATTTTTAATGGAATAGCAAAAAAGTTTGCACACATTTGAAATGGAAATTCAATAATTATATAAATTTGAATCCACCTTAAATATTAATGACATATGAAAACAAGTATTCAGTGTCAGTTTGGGACCAGCTCAATGTTACTGGGCTATAGAAGAGGAGACTCCATGTGTTCATGGGAAACTGATTTATCACAGTTGATGACTATCAGAAATCCAGCAGGAGAACGTCCAGTCCAATGTGGCCTAGCCAAAGCCTGGACTTCAATCCAGTTAAGATGCTGTAGTTTGATGTTAAACAACACTTGGCTGGTCCACTCATCGTTGTCCACTCCATGAGTATATGGTGTCCAGGGCTTGTAGCGTGACCGTTAGCTTGCGCTGTTTGGTTTCCTCCTGACATGTTGCTGAGCGACACGGTGAAATATCTACTTTGGTCTGATGTGGCTAAACGTCGTCATTCCAGGAGTCGTGTTTTATTCAGATGCAGCCATAAATCACGTGATCCTGTTGGTTTTAGAGACACGACTTTCCAAATAGCCATACCTGTTCAGTGTTTGTCTAATTGTCCTGTCATGAACTTTAACCTTTAACCTGCTAACTGAAGCTTGTAAAGTCTGAGACGGAGCTCTTGTTCTTTTATTTGGTCCACTGGCAGCTTTCTGAACCGTTTTCCTCTTGGGAATAATCTTCCTCTCTGAGTGATGATGGACTTTAGACAGATTGAAACTGATTTTATTTTCCAGATCAGTTTTTGTTTATTAACAACACCTAACACTGACATTAAGCTGGATAAAAACTAAGCACAGTTTTAGTTGCATTAGCGAAACTATTGTTTACGATTGGTGTTTCAGGGTTAGCTTTGCCCACCACATGAGTCTTGCAGGTGTATGTTGGCGTCACTGACGGCTGTTTCATTATTAATATTTCAGCTTTCATCTACATACATCACCACATATCTAATACATTTTACAGCCTTTCTATTTATTTCTGCTCGGATTTGTTGCTTGTTTCTAAAAGAAAAACTCAAGTGGTTTTCATTTCTCATGCCTCATTTGTGGGAAGAAATATCCAGCGATTGCACATTTCAGTCTGCATTTCCTGGTAGCTTAAAGGCTTTCCGCCCCCACAGCAGAAATTAGCAAGTATTAGTGGAAAAATGCCTAAAAGGAGGCCAGGATTGCAAAAGTTGGTGAGGCTTTCAGTAGGATTAAGCCGCTGGGCTCTGCTGAGCTGCAGGCTCCAGGAAAAAGGAAAAGGTCACTCTTTTCTTCATCAACACATTT